GGGAATTAGCCTGCACCTGCCTGTGGTCAGCTGACCGGAAGAGGCAGGGCCTTGGGCGCACACAAACCCCAGGGCTGAGACTAGAAGGGAGTTCTCTGTCAGCAGCCAAGGGGGGAGGAGCTCTCTTAGAGAAAGCTAAATGGAGATGTTTGACTGCCTGTTCTGCTTCTGATAGGATTAAGAGGCTTCAGGGGCTCACCAGGGACCCTGGCCTGCAAGGCATTTAGTGCTAGGGTAGAGCTTTAATGCTTTTAAAGGGACAGAGCACACCCTGCACTGCTTCTATTATGTTATAGCCCAGGGGCTCATATTTTGATTTCTGTTTGTAAACTGGTGGATTGGGCTGAGGCTACTGGGGAAGGAGGAGGTCTCAATGGGGGCCCACTAGTGTGGGGACCCCAGCGCCAGGGGCGCAGTGACAAAGGGGGTGAACAGACCCCAGCGCCAGGGGGCGCAGAGAGAGAGAGAGACAGGGCTGTGGAGAGCCCAGCGGTGACCTGAGGCCAAGTTTAACTAAGGCCTCGGAGGGTCAACATGTGAATGCCATCCACGAGGCTTGGGGCATGGTAAAGGGGTGGTTTGGAGCCATGCATCTAGCCCATAAGGCTGAGGGTGTCCTGTGGCAGGAGAGGAAAAGGGTGCCTGTTGGGCAAGATTGGCATGGTCATGGAGCCCTAAGGCCATCACGGCCATCCCGTGACACCCACCTATAGCAGTTTCCCCTGCAGAGGAACTAGCACTGCAGTAGGCTTCCTACTGTTCATGCAGGCATTGTCCTTTTGTGCAACTAGCTCTGCAGTAAGCACTCATAATTCCTGCTTCCCTGAGCCAGCTCTCCTTCACCTTCCTCCCTTGCAGGACTGTCCCTGGGCTCATTCTCCCTTAAAGTAACAGAAAGTCCCAAGCTCTCTGTTGCAGAGCAGGACAACCCAAAATATAATAAATAACTCTCCAGTTGTAAAACAATAATATGCATATTGATCATTTTTCAGAGCAGAAAAAACTATTGCAGGCACTCTGCCAGGACTAGCACTGATAGCACAAGTGGGCAGGTGTGAAGACATGGTACTTTAAAATATTCCAGCAAAAGATGGTGGATGTTTAGAAAATGATAGAAATTTGAGATGCAACTAAATGCGAGCAAGTGAAAGATGTGAAGTTTATCATACTGAATGAATATGCTAGACATCAAGAAAAGTTTTTCCCCAAACACAGATTGAACTGCAAAGGACAGCACAAGAAAATCACAATATATAACTGTGTGTGTGTGTGTAACTATTTTCTTGTGCTGTCCTCTGTAGTGCACCATGGGATATATATATAACGGGTTAGATATATACACACACTATTTTCTATATATAATAACATCAAAATATTAATAGTTATACACACACACAACTATTATTAATTCAGTGTTATATTTTAATATATATAACCTGTGTGTGTGTGTGTATAACATAGAATTAATATTGTTTATGTGAATTTGCAAAGGGAATATGGGTATTAAAAATGTAAACAAAGAAAATAAAATGTGTTTTTTGGCTGTATATCTGTCAGTAAATCAGACACTGTGACTTCTGTCAAACATGCTTAAAAATTAAGGAATCCCCAATCAGTCCCTGCTGTCGCTACAATCGTGTTACCGTTGTCATAATCCATGCAGGCAGTCGCAAAGGATGATCCCGTAGTGGAGAGCAGATCAGTCACTGCTGCTGCTGCCCTGCAAATGGTGATAGCACTGCTTGACTACTCCTCATTGGGCAGGCTATCAGAGAGCCAACTGCTCTTTCTGGCTTACTTCTCGTTGAAGTAGGGAAGAGAGGACAGAGCACTCTGGGATACTGAGGATTCGGAGGGACCTATCAATATGTTCTATTTCTTAGTGATCAGCCACTTTTATGGCAGATCAGCCATATTTTTTGAATGACAAATGGCAGGAATGTTTAAAGTTGCTTTTGTCAAGCTAAAACAGCTGATATGGCACAACAAATGTAACATGTCTCAGGCCTTAATCTACGTGAGTATCAGCCTGCCATGTTTGATGCTTTTTTTTTAAGTTACAGTCCCAGTGTTGGTAGGCCACTGTATTAGTTCAAAATTGTTTCCTAAAGGGACATGAGTCTTGAAGCAGTGGATCCAAGCAAGATCAAAGGTAGGTTTAGGCAAGTAATAACAGAAATATTATTGCAGTCTGCCTGCCAAACCACAGTTAATGATGAATATGCCACTTCAGGAAGCTTGGGAAGAAGGGCAGTAGTCTTTGGGAATTTGCCAAAAGACCATCTCACCTCTTTTTACACAAAGAACATAGGCAATTCACATTAAAGAAGAGAAAATAACATTAATAACAGCCCTACCCTGAGGAGAGCTTTTTACCCAGTAACAGAAATGATTACAAATGCATGAAACCCATTAAAGGCTATGGTATTGGCTTTCACTGAGAAATACTGAGGCACTACAGTGATAGAGGACAGTAAGATAGGATAAACGCCATATGTTTATACTCTAGATGACTATGCCAGTCATTTCACTCTTCATTTGATCTGATATTAGAAAGTTGTCAATTCTCCAAAGTCACTAGTGTTGCTGGGAAAGCTTATCAAAAATGGCAGGACCCCATGCCAAACTATGCCTTGTAAACATTTCTAATCATAATTTTTGAGCCCTTTAAAGCAACCAGTATGTCTCTAAAATTCTAAAAACCCAGATAAAAGGTAGACTTTTGGAAACTACTTTAGATGTTTCTAAACATCTAAAGTAGTTTCTACTTTAGATGTTTCTGGGTGCCACACTTCAAGAAGGATGCGGATAACCTGGAGAGGGTCGCCACTCGTATGGTTAAGGGCCTGAAGACCAAGCCCTACGAGGAGAGTCTAGAGAAACTGGACCTTTTCAGCCTCCACAAGAGAAGGTTGAGAGGTGACCTTGTGGCTCCCTATAAGTTCATCACGGGAGCACAGAAGGGAATTGGTGAGTATTTATTCACCAAGGCGCCCCCGGGGGTTACAAGAAATAATGGCCACAAGCTAGCAGAGAGCAGATTTAGATTGGACATTAGGAAGAACTTCTTCACAGTTAGAGTGGCCAAGGTCTGGAACGGGCTCCCAAGGGAGGTGGTGCTCTCCCCTACCCTGGGGGTCTTCAAGAGGAGGTTAGATGAGTATCTAGCTGGGGTCATCTAGACCCAGCATTCTTTCCTGCATATGCAGGGGGTCGGACTCGATGATCTATTGAGGTCCCTTCTGACCCTAACATCTATGAATCTATGAATCTATGTCATGGGGACATAAGAAAATTGCTGTATAGACACACTGAGGGCATATCAATGTAGTCTAATAATTGGAATTAGAACTTCTGCTTTGTTCACATTATCTTCCAAAAGAGATGTAGCGTACCTACCCTCGGACAGCAATAGCTAGCCAATAAGCACACCTGAAAGGCTCATCTTATTAGCATGCACTGAGGCATTGCATCCATTTTGGGATGTAGCATGCCCTCCCTAGTGTGATCCTCAAGCAATGTAGGTATGCTCTACTCTTTCAGCATAAAAGCCTTTATTTTCTCGTATCTGCTTGTATATTTCCTTCAATACCAAAATTAGAAACAACTTGTATTGTTGATAAGTGTTACCAGAGTAAGTTGTACTTGTCTCTCTCTTGATCTGAGGTAATAAAAAGATGCATTTCATCCCTTTCCAACCCTTGAAGATATCATGTCACGTTTTGAGATGTAACTGTCGTATGCCTTAATCTTGCTTGATCATCACACCTTGAACCACTCCCATCTAGAAACAGAGAGAGAGAGTACACACTCTGGATTCTGATCTTTCATATGCTGATGTAAATGAGTATAACTCTGTTGAATCTTGGCTGATATCCCTCAGGTGGGGGTCTAGCGTACAGGTAGGTTCATTTAGAATCAGTCCCAGAATGTAGTTCTGTGATGCTGCTTTATATGTGAGGTCAGAATGAACAGAAGGAAATAAAAACCTGTGACTGGAGGGAAGGGAAAGCAGTGGGGAGGGGACTCTTGGACCATAAAGCCCAATCCTGTTTTTCTCAAGGATTCCCCAAAATTGCCACTTCTATTAAAAGTGAATAAAGGCTTTAATAACAAACATTATCAAAACGTTCTTAGTCAGACACAAAATAATACATCCTGGGCACATCTACATGTTCATTAATGAGTAGTAGTTACTGTGCATTTAGTTTAGTGCTTAATTAATGAAGTACTAACTAAATGCGCAGTAATCAAAATTACTGCTCAGTAGCATCAGCAAATGCCTTTTTTGTGATGCTACTGTGCAGTAGCCTAATAATACTGCACAGTAGCATATTAGCACTGTTAGCTACTGTGCAGTGTTATTAGGCTACTGCGCATTAAGTGTCTTGTGTAGATGCACCCCCGGACACCTTTTTAAAAAGTACTATCTCTTCATACACATTTGCCTAGAAATATGTTAATTTATAGCCCATCTGTTTCTGCTTATTGCCAATTTGAATGTGTACTTCTCTATGTGATGTAACTAGCTGTTGTGGAGATGAGCATGGTGTCACAAAAGACATATGTAAATAAATAAACACAGAAAGAACTAATTGTCATATGAGTATTTTTGTGATTTTTTTTTAAATGAGAAAAAAGCAGGTACTATGTAAGAATTGTTTCTAAATACAGTGCTTTTCAAAGCTTCCCTTGAGGCCTCAGCAGCTCTTTCTAACAATTACCTTCTCTGACGCCATTTAGTTGATGTTTTTTTTCATTCATTAGTTTTTCCTTTTATTCTTACCTAGATGATCCTAGAGGCAAACACCAAAAAAAAATTGAAAGCAAAACTCAGAATTACCTTAATCTGTATGCTGTAGATGGGCTAAGGACCTTGTGTATTGCCAAGAGAGTAAGTAAATGCAGTATCTTAGTTTGCTTTTAAGTCATGTATTGACACATCTTTTCATTTCAGTAGATTACTAATGCTATTTGTCACGATTTTTCTTTATTTATAACTTTTTCATTTTACTCAGTAATCAATTAATGTTTCTGCATCTCTCTGTATGTGTGCTTACATTTCTATTTTAAATAGGTTCTCAGCAAAGATGAATATGCTTGTTGGTTAAAAAATCATTTGGAAGCAGAATCTTGTATTGAAAACCGTGAAGAGCTACTGTTTCAATCAGCCCTTCATATAGAAAAGAATCTGCATCTGCTAGGTAATGACATGAGAACTGAATGTGAAATTACAGTATGTTAACAATTCTCAAAGCTTGAGTTCAAACCTCTGCTCTTTCTTTTTAAATATTTTGTATTGATATAGAAATTGATGGACTTTATCATGGGCTTTCTCATAATGCTGGCTCTTACAGCATTACAAAACAGTGGGATAATAATTAACATAAGAGGCATATCATGTTTGCCTTGCCCAGCTCACTGTTTGATCCCTGATAGGATACCAGTAAAGTCAATGGAATGATACCAGGGAAGAATTGTCTTCAGTGGGATCTAATGACCTGAGTAAGATAACCAGGATATAGTCTAAATTGCCTATGAAATTTCATTATTTAATGCAGCTTTAAAATACCAGGGATTTTCCAGGGCTACTCTGGCAACAGACAGTTTGACAACATGAGCCTTAGAGACTGTATTGATGACAGACATCATGGTCCAATAGACTGAGACTGATTGCAAGTCTGGGAGGTAGGCACTCAGTTTATTCTAAGCTCTCCAGGATAAACTTGTGTGAGCTTATGAAAGCCATTTAGGATTGTCAATCTTCTCTACGTTGTGTATAACACTGTTCATTTGAAGTCACTGATAAAACTTCCAGTGACTTAAATGGGAGCAGAGTTAGGGTCATGCCTTAAGTATTCTGGACAACCTGCATTGAAACCCGTCTAGGAGAATTATCCCACAAACATTTAGGCCCACACTTTTTTCAGAAGTAGCGATTGGTAATATTTTTGTTGTACCAACTGTGTAGTTATAAGAGAGGTCAGAAAAGTTCTCAGGCACAAAATGTCCTCCTTTAGGCCTGGGAAAGAGACTGATACAGCCTAAGCCAAATTGCAGCTAAAACTATGACTTGTGTACAGGGATTCTGGTTTTCTCTGATTTAAAAAAATCCCCAATTTTCAGTTTTAAAAAAGTAACCCCAAATCCACATTTTTCTATGTTTAAAATGAAACACCACTATATTTATATCTATATATAAGCAGTGTTTCATTTAAATCATGGAAATATGTGGATTTGGGGTTACTTTTTTTTTAACCAAAACTGGGGATTTTTTAAATCAGAGAAAACCAGGATCCCTGCGTCATGTTTAACTTTATGACAAAAAAATATGACTTGAAAAAGGGGAAAGAGGCAATAATGCTTTATGGAGCAGATTTCTTCCGATAACTTCTCTTTCTTCCACAGGTTCTACCTTGTATTAAGCTCAGATATCAGTTTCTTTCCCAGACTGCGGGAAGGGCATTTTGTGCCCAAAAGATTTCCTAACATCTCTTTCAACCATATATTTTGGGCCAGAAGACATTACCAAGCAAATCTCGTTTCTCACATATCCCTCAGACTGTCATGGCTACAGCACTATATCTCTTAATTTTTGCATATATAAGTTTTCTGCTGAGTTCAGCCACACAGCTCAAATATCTTAAGTTAAGCATATATGTGTAAGCATGTATGTGTAAGTAAAATCAGGATCTACGTGTTCTGTAAAAAGAGGATAATAATACATCATAGGGATGCAGTTAAAACCTTTCCATACAAATCCATTCACATTTGCATTCACATAAGCAGTCCAAGTGTTAAGTCTTCTTATTTATATTTATTTACTTAAAGTATATGTCCCAAGTGCCTGTGTTCAGCAAATTATAAATATCCATTATTCCCTCAAGCAGTGAGTTTGTGTCTTTGGCAAATGTAAATGGGATAATGTTAATATTTTAAATAATTTAAAAACATTTCAACTGTTGACTCTGGGTGCCCACATAGATGCTAATAATCATATAGAAGGAAGAGGCCCTGCTGGAAGGTTCCTGATCCATTACTGGTGGCGGGAATCCCCTCTTGATCCAAACCCATTAGAGAGCATGGGTCTCTAGTCATCTTGCCCTCTTCTCTCCTATGTTCTAAGAAAGTCAGAACAAGATCTCCTATGGGTGGAACTAGCCTCTGTCACAACTAGATCTCCTGTGCTCTGGGACTATCAGTAGCTTCCCCCAGCAAGGGCTCGGTAAAGTCATAGAGGTAGCAAAGCAGAAAGAGCAAACAAGGGAACTGGGGAGGGTCTCAGGGGGCCCTTGTACACGTTATGCGTTGCCTAGATACCTGTCACAAAATGGTGGCAAAAACTGACGTTTCACTAGCTTAGTTGCATGTGCAAATACACGTTGATGTCTTCTTATCATAGTAAATTTTGATTTATTGTGGTAAATTAAACCACCTCTGACATATTTTATTTTTAGCATGGCCAATTGTTCCAGGAGAATTATTTTTACTGTGGTAGTTCTGCAGAGTGTATTCTCGCACATAGTCGAAACCAGCATTTTCCCTGTTCTGCCACAATTTGTCCACCAGGTGCCGCTTGGGTTCATTCAGAAATCCATGCAATTTCTGTTGCAATGCAGCCACTACACACCAGGTGGAATGGATGCAAATTTTTAGGGGTCAGGCAATTCAAGAATCAGGTTAATTAAAAATACTTCTTGTTGGACTGAAACCTCTTCACATTTCCTGTTAGCACGCAACACTGGGGCACTGGGGGTGATTTTGGGGGTTCCCACCCAGGGGACCACCAAGGTCCCAGCAGGACCAACCTTTTGCCAAGTGCCTCTTTGAAAGCAAAAAAAAAATTCTCTCAGCTCTAGACAACATTTCTCCCTCACTGATTGTAGGTAGGGTATCCCACAGCCTCCCTACAATGTTGGCTTTCTTCGCAAGCATCCGAAGTCGCTTCGCCCAGCAGCCAACAATTTCTTTTAGTTTTCAAATTAGGGGCTCCCCTGGCCACCCCAACAGTTCCCCAAGTGATGGAAGGCAAAGGTAGGCACCCCCACCCCCCACTTCATGGCACTGTTGGGGGAAGCACACAGCACTGGGGCACTTGGGGGATTTTGGGGGGTCCCAGCAGGAGACAAGACCCTCCCCCCACCCCGCTTCTAGGCATGCAGTAATTTATGTAGGGTGTCCTAAACTCTCTAAACTTTGGGTACCAGTGATGCCAGCAGACTCTTCTATTTATTTATTTATTTATTTATTTATTAAGGATTTGAACTCTGGATATTGTTGTTTATTTGTTAGCTGATTGACTGTTTATCTCAGCCTCCTGCTTTCCTTCTCCCCTACAGCGCCTCTGCTGCTAAAAAGCTCTCTTGGTCTTACTTACATTTGTTAGACTGGATGAGTTGTTTGCCCGTTAAGCTGGCTTATTGTTTCCAAAAACAGATTAAAGACACGATTATGACATGGGAGTTTTGAATAGCCCACATGCTTATTTAACTTCAATGTATTTGATTTGTTCCTGTGTTCAGGTGCAACTGGCGTTGAAGACCGTTTACAGGAGGGCGTCCCAGAAACCATCGCGAACTTACGCAAAGCTGGGCTGCAGATTTGGGTCCTCACTGGAGACAAGCAAGAAACAGCTATTAATATTGCTTATGCTTGCAAGCTATTAGATCATGATGAAGAAATCATCACTTTGAATGCTGAATCACCAGTAAGCAGATCGTTGCCAGATGGTTCAGAGCAGTGTAGCAGTCTAGTTGTGAACCACTTTTCCTGCGATTTTGACAGATTCAGCTTAAAGTTGTACTGCTTTTTTCCTTCTTTTTAGTTTTTTAAAAATTTCTTTCTACTTAATCCATATTTTATAATTAGGGTTTGTACATCACTTTTTTTATTAATTATTTATGTCCCTAGGTATAAGCACGGTGTATCATAATACTGTTTAAGCTTGCATACACCTATGCATTTAAGATGTGCAGCTGTATAGAAAGATACCAGTGTAATAGAAAATAATATAATATGAATCCCCGCAGTATAATGTGACTCCATTTCGATAGCATACATGTATAATATAGTACATACCTAGTAAGGTAAAGTCCAGGACCCAACATTTCCTATTTCTTATTGACATTAACTGAACATATAAAAACAATCTATTAATACAAATTAAAAATAGTGAATACCTATTGAGAATAAATATGTATTTTAAAGTTATGGGGTTTTAATACTAGTTAATTCAATAATTTATATTATGCTGAGTGATTTTTTTTCATCTGGAGGCAATCTATGAATTTTGATGAAAAAATAACCACAGCTATGGTCAAGAATAAAAAGGTTCCTCACAGAACTTTGCTAATGCTTTTTAATTATCTCCTGTCCCTGGGCTCAGTTTATCTCCAACTGACAACTGCGAAGATTTTACTGATCAAGTCAAACAGAAGGAACAAGATTGTTAACTCTGACATTATATATTACAGTGCTATAATGAGCCGTCAAATCAGAACTAAAGTGGTAGACGGGCAGTATCCAACTGCAATCCCTTTTTAAAACAAAGAAAAGATAACAGTGTTTTGCCTTCCTGATTGTAATCAGTTAACTGACAAATGGATTTCCTCTGATCTCACTTCTTTTATTCTGTTAACTTGGAACATATTTTCGACAAGACCGGTGGCATCGTGGCTTAAATATTCGAATACAAGCAATAAAGTCTTTTAATTGAGTTTGGTTAGGAGATAGACTTTAAATACAGTTAAATAACCTTTAATTAGCATTTAACAATACAAAATTAACAATCTGATTTGATTTGTAGGCATTTACGTGATGTTCATCACCAGAGTTAACCCCGTACTGATCTTGTTTATATAATGTATCAATTTTCCTATTCTTAGAAAAAGCTGAAAGAAATTAGTTTAAATGCTTTACAAGTTAAATAGAAATTAAAATTACTTTTAGTGTATTCATAGAAGGTGGTATATTCTGCCACAAGAATTGAGTATGTTTAGAAAGAATTAAGGAGGAGAGATTAAAATAAATTAAATCTTTTACAGTGCAGTCAATATATCAGAATCCTATCATTCCTCTTTTCTAAAGCAACAACAGATGTAATTTATTGTGTTTACTCAATGATTATAGCAATAACTTCCACTCCAACATGTTTATTTTTATTTTATTTTCAGGAAACATGTGCTATTTTGCTGGAACAGTGTTTGCATTGTGTAGAGTCAAAGTTTTCAAGCAATACAATAGACAACACTTCTGGAGATATGAAAATTGGGTTTGCTTCTTTCTGTCCACCATCATCTTCAGCACATTCCAAACTGGGACTAGTGATTGATGGGAAGACTCTAGCTTATGCCCTGGACAAAACACTGGAAAACAGATTTCTTTTGCTTGCCAAAAGATGTCGCTCAGTGCTGTGTTGTCGCTCTACCCCACTTCAAAAGAGCATGGTAGTGAAATTGGTTAGAGACAAACTCAAAGCAATGACATTGGCAATAGGTAAGTATCTTGATCTAAATGAGCCTGGTTTTATATACTCACCTCCTTGAAAAAGTTTTATTTTATTTTAATTTTTATTTCTGGCATGGTATGATATCTGAAGCACTTCAGAATTTTAGAAATCTCCCTATTTTCTTTCAAAATGTTTCTGTGATCTCAAGCTCATTTATTTCAAATGTAGAGCTTTCCAGTGCTTCTATGATTTCTTTTTGTAAAGAAAGCGCTGGCCTATGCTAAAAAATGTCTATTGTGTTCAGATACCATTATGAGGACCTGGCATAGTGCTGACCAAGGCTTTGCAGTCGACATACATTTTAGGACAAACTGTTCAGCATCATTTCAGCTAATCAACGTGAATCCCCAAAGTTCTGCATTTTTAGTCACAAGGCAATCACACAGAGCTGAGCATGAAACATCTTGTCTCCAGTGACTGCAAAGAAGTGGTTAGCATTACATCAGCCAACACAGCTCTACATGGTCATGTTCCATTGGTAATAGGGAGACTTTCAGTCATCCAGCAGTTAAACTCTTGAAGTGCCTACAGCGTTCCTGCACTTTAAAGTGAGAGAACTCTACTTCTTGCATAGCTCCCCTTTTCCTACTCTGCGGGTGTGTCTGTACAGTGGAAGATGTAATTGCAACACAACTTGATGTACCCGCACTATACAGGTGACAATAACAGTGAAGATATAGTAGCATGCATGGAACCCCTTCTTACATGCTAACATTACTAATTTTTACTGAAGTTGCTGCTGCATCTTCGCTGTTATTGTTATCTGTGGGCACATTTACACATGAAATTAATTTGACTGAATAAACTCCGGCACCATTCATGCCGGAGTTTATCGCCCCCAGGCGCAGCATTTACAGGGGGTCAGCCTGCAAACCTACAGCTCCTCTGACCCAGCTCAGCCTTTTGTGAAGGGGCTGGCTAGGGCACAAGGGTACTTCAGTGCAGGGCAGTTGTGCCCCAGCCACTCCCATCAGTGTCTACATGTGTGTTGTTATGCACTAAATAACACCACCATGTGATAGTACTTGTGTTAGGATATTATCTAATATGGTCGTGTAGGCGCTGATGTTTTACTGCAGAGCTAATTAGGAAACTCCACAGTAAATATCTCATGTAGATGCGCTCATTGTTACTTAAATTAGAGCTAGCACATATATACCAGCTTGGACTATAATCACACCTTCAACTTCAGTGTAGGTATACCTTAATGTCACAAGGTATGGTAATTTGGTTAAAAAAAATTGGAGGAGCCTTTTTAACTTGGGTTTCACTAACCCAGGGTTGTTAGCTGTGAAGACATGGCAATTTGGGTTTCAATTTGGTTTAGTAGCTTCAGTTAATAACTATAGGGGAGCCTGAACTGAACTGTATCTGCTTACCTGGCTTATAAACTTATACTGCCTAGTTTTTGTTGCTTTTTAAATTATTAGTTTATACAGATTAGACAACCTGAATTAAGAACTGATTTATTTTTGTCTTTTTTTCTAGACAAAGTTTAGGCTTCCCTATCCAGTGATCTATATCTAAATTTTCCTTTATATCAAATATTGGGTCCCTTCTTGCTTCCAGACTGTTATTCCATTATGGCATTAAAGTTTCTAGGCTATTGGGCATGGAAAGTTTAATATTGATGTATGATATTTGTGTTTTAGATCTCATTCAAAAGATCCATATGTACAGAATACTCCGTTTATCTTTTCTTGCCATGGTATAAAATATTTGAGACAGGCATACTGATATATGAAGGGCTTTGCTGGCCCTTCGTGGCTTTGGAACTGTAATTTTATGAAGAACAGGTGTTTCAAACCAGACCCCTATACCACCACCACCACCTCTCCCAAACTAACACTCTGTGGTCACTTGGTTTCCCTTCGCTTTTCAGCCATTAATCTTCCTTGCTTTAATTACAAATAATGTTGTATAATATTGTTACTAGGTGATGGAGCTAATGATGTTAGTATGATCCAAGTGGCTGATGTTGGTGTGGGGATCTCTGGTCCAGAGGGCATGCAGGTAAGGTTGTTCATTTACTAAAAAGTATTCTCAGGAAAAACTTGGACCAAAAATTTTCCATATGCCTGCTTGTATCCTCCCAGCCAGCTTGAACAAAGTGTCTCTTGACAGCCAGCCCAAGTAAGGAGGAAATTGCAAGCTGCCCTGAGGTGTATCAGTTGGACTTTGTAAAAATCACTTAAGCTTGGGTTTGAGCATATGTTTTTTCTCAAATCTATGATAAGTTTAAACATGTTATATTCACCTCATAAAACTCAAATTATAAGACGACTTTAAGCTACATTTTGCTTATTAAAGAAAATATTTATTGAATATTTTTAGAAGAAAAGTCTCTCCACTGTGTTATTTACATAGTAAATAAAGATTATATTTAACTTTCTCCTCTGCTTTTATTTTTCACATTACATTAACTGTTCTTGTAGCATTATCCTGTGGAATGGCTGTTCAGGTGTCTTTACCTACAGTGTTTAAGTCCCACAAAGCTTCATATAACGCTTGTACTTTAAGCCAACCTATTCAGACATTAAGTCTGTCTTATTCACAAGGCCAGCAGAGCCTGGACTGTTGGAATTAGTTTTTTGTGTGAGTAGCTACAGTGGGAGTCTAGGCAAATGCTTCTTTGAGGGGAACCTTCCTACATCTGGTTGATGTTCTATAGGATAGCCGAGGAGATTGGAAAGCCTTCTGAACTTGGTTATTGGTAGAGGCCCCCAGAACTCAGTGCTGCAGTTGTGGGGACTGAGTACATGGAAAAATTCATTCATTCTAACCATTATATGATGTGGAATGAAAATAACCTCCAGTGTAACAGATGCCTTGTCCTTAGCTGATTCCCCATAGATGCAGCATAGGGAGGCAGATTTTCATCAGGCAGTCCATTTAAAATGCTCTTGTTTTTGTGTTGATCAGCTTAGGAAGAAAGCTGCACCCTCTAGGACGTTAAGAGATTCCTGGGCAAATGTGTGCCCCTAGCCATGGTTTCTGATGGTCCTGTTGCCATACATGGCAATGACCACAAAAGGGGAAAGCTTGGGTTAAGAGTGAGGTAGCTAGAGGGTTTGGGGGGCAGGTTCTTTTTTTATTTCTTTGTTTGTTTGCTTTTTAAGTAATGTTCACACACAACAGGAAAGGTTTAGAGACCTTCCCCCATATCTTTATCCTAGAGTTGCAGAGAAAGGGTGCATGCCTTTGTACCATAAACAACTGTCAGAATCTTTTACATGCTAGTACTTCAAAGGAGTTGAGCATTTGGATGTCAGAATTGGCACAGTGACTGATTTACTTTCCTTCCATATCCTATGGGAGGAGCAACATACAGCATGAATCACTCCTATGCAAAAAGATGAAGAAGGGGAAATGAAAATGTAAAATTCAAGATGACATTTGGGGATGAAATAAACATGCAAATATAATTGGGTAAAACTATCTTTCCATTCCAAGCATCCAGTCAAAATAGAATTTTAAAAAACTCTCACAATGTGTTTTAGAAGAATGTAATGGAAACACAAAATTAAAAGAAATCAACAATTTTGCCTTGGCATTGCATTATAGTATAGAATGAGAGAATGTGCTGGAGACAAAAAAAAGATGTAATCAAACTGCTGTTTTACTTAAATATTTATAATAGATTCATGTTCTGGATGTTATATCTGTATCAGATAAATATTATGAACTGAAGGAAAATCCAAGCACCCAAGGAGTCCTGAGATTGATTAGCAAATGGCTAAAAAGAACTTAATATGATTGCAACATGTCTGTTGCCTAAATTAAATGTTTTATTATTTCTGCACTGTATTAAAGTTTAGTGTACCATCTTTTATAGACCTTTAGTTGGCAGAAGCACTTGTCACATTATCACATGAGTTTTGCCTTTTAGTCATTTGTAAAGAAAAGGATTTATGTGTAACTGAAAGGGGAAATGTTTCTTGTTTTAAAAAAGAAAAATAATTCTACAGTGTATGAAGAGAGCACTTCTCAGAAAAAGCAGAAGAAACCTAAATATTGAGAATGAAGACAAAAACAAAATATAGATTATATAGAATGTCACGAACCCATTGATATAAAAAGTTGTAAAGTACCTGAGAGAATTGCTTAGCTTATAACAAAGTCCTGAAGTCAACTGTATTCTGTCATTGATTTTAGCCGGTCAAAAACAGATATAATGTAGTGAATAATTTTGGTGATTTATACTATAGCAGTGATTTGGTAAGCTCTGACGTCTCAGAGAAACCTCTAAAAGACTTTCACATGGACAATTTAGATGGTTAAAATAGTCAGACAGTTTAGATGATTAAACACAAGCTTCCTCAAAATATTGAGTCATGGGGAGAAAGTGTCTTGGGCATGCTTTACACATCAGGATTATGATTAATAAAATAATTTATAACATTTTGCTCTTAATTGTGCATAGCATTATTTTACCCTTCATTTAAGTTCATCCTGAAAACTCACTTCTTCTACACAAGGATTTAATAACCCTATTTCACTCTTATTCTTGCAAAAATAAAAGCTTCACAGCAGTCAAACCATGTACATACACTTGGACTGAGCATCCATAAACCTCTACTATTGCACCCACACATACCTTCCTTCATTGGTTCCTCATCCGCAATGCAGACTATAATCTTAGAGGTAGATGTGTGTCATCCTCTGTGAAATACCCAGTTTGCTTCTTGGCACTATAAAATAATAATTACACTTGAAAAACACTGAGGACATAGAGAATCTAAGTCATCTTTCTCTTACATTGGAATACAATAGCTCCACTGACTTTCAATCAAGTTGCTCCTGCTTTATATTTATATCTGTTGAGAGGGTAGTCATTCAAGTCTATTGTCTGTATCACAAATGGCACTTAACAATTATTATTTCAACTCTTCTCTCTTTGAAGGCTGTGATGGCGAGTGACTTTGCAGTCCCCAGGTTCCGGCATTTGGAGAAGCTCTTGCTTGTTCATGGACATTGGTGTTATTCTCGCCTTGCTAACATGGTGCTGTACTTCTTCTACAAAAATGCAGTAAGTGTTTGATTTGGAAGTTTTGCGGCTGCTTTTGCTTCCAAGGTTTATTTTGTCTTAAGTGAGCATTAGGTCAGCCTTCAAATGGTTTATAAATAAGCTGCAAAGAAACCTACATAGTTGAAAGACAGCTGGCTGCCATTAACAGGAATAGGAGGCCCCACTCTGACAGTGAATGTGTTGCAGAATGTGCAAATTAAGTAACAGCAATAAGTGCTGTTCAACAAAAGTTTCTTTACTGAGCAATACTCCTTGCAACAAATGTAGACACAGTAGTCTTTAACACCAAGTTGACCCAAGACTGGTGGTCTAAAGTAGTAGTACATATGTTTTTCTCTTCCTAATCTTGTTCTTTAGCTACTTATACAAACCTTAAATTATCCTCAGTGATGTGAGAATTTGTTTCTTGCGTATTTATAAGACAAGACTCTGGCATTAGGGGTCTTTTGGCTTTCTCATTTTCTTCCCATAGGTAAATAAGCTGTGAAAGGAGCTTTTATAATTCATATCTGAGCCTATTATGGACCTAAATCTCCTTCCTGTTATGCCACTACCAGAAATTGTGCCACTAAAAATGCAGCTTTTCAGTCCTGCCTTTTAACTTATTTCAGCTCAGAAAAGTCTGCAGTACACACACACACACACACACACACACACACACACACACACACACACACACACACACTTTTATTAGTTTATAAGGTGCAAATCTACCCTGCCTTCTAGTAAACTCATTATACCAAGTTAAGGCAAGAGCCTGGAAGAGAAAGGGACGTACTCTGTGATGGCTTTTTTAGATGTCAAGTCATACCATGGTAATTGAAACTTGAATCACAATACAGCTGCTTCACATGGGGACAAGCTATCTTAATTTAACTTTTACATACAGCAGAATAAGATTGAGGACACAATTGATTGCTTGATTACTATAAAACACCTGGTGTATGGTGTAACCCTCCTTTTAACTCAATATAGTTTGTTCATCTGTCCATAAATACAAATAGTTCTAAAGTGATTAAAAGCTCTTTCAGCCAGGCAACTGCAGATTCCTTCAGCATGTAGAAATCAGTGGCTAACAGGAAGGCATAGTGGCTTTATATCAAAGCCAGTATGGCTAACCCTAACAAGAGTCTGGGGCATGAAAGAGTGGGATAGGGAGCAAGGCCAAGGGACACAGTAATCCAGCTGCTTTGAATGGTAATTTGGGAATAGACTACAAGGCAAATGAGGGTCTAACCCGGGGTGGGCAAAATACAGCCCGTGGACCGGATCCGGCCTGCCAAGCACTTCCCTCTGGCCCGCGGAGCCCCTTCAAAACCCAGGTAATGGCAGCTGC